TAAAAAAGTAAATCAGAGCTAAAAAAGTGCAAAAACGCAGGCAAATTTGCCTGCATTGGTCTACATATTAAGGGATATAAAAGATAGGTTTAACTTCAATCTACTTGATAACTCGAATAGGTTTATCAGAATCTTTTCAATTCTTTTTGTACAGCATTTTATTCTGTAATTTATAGTATCTTAATTGTTTAATAATTGTTTGCTGTTTATTTTCTATAAGGTTAGAAGGTAATAAATCTGATTCTAAGTATTCTACAAGATATTGATATCGATCTAAATTTATATAGAAGAGGATAAAGAAGAGACATGTGTCTGTATCAGCAATCTTAAAAAGGCATCAATATTAAAATGGATTTGTCTAGGTTTGTGAATAATAGTAAAGTAATAAGACTGTAGTTTCATTATCTATCATTCTAGTTGTTCTTTTGGTTGAGAAGATTTTAACTATTTAAGAGCAGAGTGGTTAGTAATTAGAGTAAAATAGTTAGTTTCAAAATACTTATAGAAATGCTCAATAGCCCATACTATGGCAGCATATTCTAGTTCTGTAACTTTATAGTTTATTTCTTCTTTCTTTAGGCTTTTGCTTGTATATGTTGTACCTTAGATCCTTTCTCGCATCAGAACAAAGATGACGCACCTCAGATGCTGATCATCAGGTGAGGTGCGTAACTTGTAGATCAGTCACTTGAGGTGCCTTAGTTGTAATATGAAGCACAAATTAAAAATATAATCATTTTTTTTTTATTTCAAATATAGTACGTATGTTTGTAATTTAGCAAATTTATTGTACTATATAAACTAATTTAAAAGCACATCAAGCAATATATTTTATTTATTTATTTTTTTTTTTTTTATTTTTTTATTTTTTTTAATTCTTAGACAGTTTTGTCAGAACTCAAATACAAAATTATCTTATTACAATAAGTGAAAAACTACTCTAATAAAAACTCTAATTTTAAAATTGCAAGCCCAACATCATCCAGCTACTGTATTAAGTGCCCAGATATGACCTGTCACACTGGTCTCTTATTAGACCAGGGGACTTTGTCAGCTCTGTTAAGAACTAAACCAGAAGGGTTTCCCCGCTTCTTATACAGCTTCTCTCACTAACTTATCAACTTCGGCTTCTTTTCCTCTCTGTTGTTCATTTTTGGATGACTCTACACTACTGCTTGGCATGTCTTTCTCTCTTGTCGTAGTACACGTCTTCACTATCCTTCTCTTTGCTTTATCTCTTGAAGTGCCTAGGCCAGACCTGCTTGGTTTGTTACGTTTTTTCGTATTGGTTATTCCGTTCTTTCTCTCCCATTCGGCTACTGCTTTGCAGCGTCTCTGCCATATTTCATCTTGAAAACTTGCTTCCATGACTTGGACAAAATCACGAATTACTTGATTACATGTTTTCTTTGTAAGACCCATGTTGCCTAATGCAACCAATACTTCTTCATGTACTAAACCACCTGTATAGTCTTCTCTTCTCAAACTGCGTGCTGCATAGCTTTCACCAAGAATGAACTTCTTCAACTTGTCTATCGAAATGACTTTCCTAATACGACGTTTGAGGCACTTCCATGCCACCAGCACAGCAACATATTCTATATTATTCCAGTACCCCTCTAGTCTCTCGCACCTGGCTAGATGTGATGGCATTTCTTCTTCTTCACCACACAGGATACACCGGTCATCTGCGTATATTTCTGGCTTCCTTCTCCGTAAATTCGAGAGCACTGGAATATTTTGGCTTATATACTTCACTCTGAATGTGATTCTTCTGTTCAGCTCATATGTTTTGTACTTGATTCCGGTAAGCTTCTTATTATGATGCCAAAACTGTTTTCAACTTCATTTAGGGAATACCTCAGGTTCTTTAGTTTTCATTACATGTGATCGATGCCACTCGGCCTCTATTTGCAAATTGTTTATGACCTTAATGACCTTTCTTGTTGGCACTTCAGCATATACTTTATTCAAGTACAGATTATACTTGAACCGATGGTTCTTTTCGAGTCCCAGCTTTGATATCTGACTTGTTTCAGCACCTCTTTTCGTAAGCTGGTCCACCTTCTCATTCTATCTTATATTGCTGTGGGCTTTTACCTTAGTTAGTTTAAGATCTATACCTTTGGACTTGCACAAATCTCTTATTTTCGTCACCAGACTTGCATTCGGTCTTCGCCCCCATGCTTTGTATGCTTTGAGTGATAAATTGTCTGTCAGGCTTGCAATTGCAGCTGCACTATCTAATCTAATTTCTACTTAATATTACTACCTGCTACTAATAGTGCCATCCATACCACTACCAACTCTGCTTTGGTTGATGATGGCCAATACCTCATCCCAACATAACCTTCTACCAAACTATTCTCCTCGTCATGGCTTACTCGCAACCATCCTGCACCCATTCTACATTCTGATAATCTCTTAATCACTGAACTATCTGTGTAGAAAAGGTATTCTCCAGATTCCACTTTAAGGTTTGTTTCTAGTTGTTCGACTAACTTGTTCTCTAGTGCTATATCAAATCCTTGTTGTCTAATTAAACTCTCCTCATGCGTTTTCGGTATTACTATGCTTGCAACTTCCTCTTCTGTGCTATTCACTGCTGTCATCTCTGAGTTTGCTCTGTATCCCACCACTTCTTCTAATACTAGAGGTTTAATCCCAGTATAGTCTTGATTACTATGGGGTAGGACTCCTAGTACACACTTTTTTTTTACCTATTGCTAGCATGCATTACTGCTTACTTGACCATTCAGTTTACAACTTCTGCATTTGACTAAGGTTGTAACATTTTCTGATCTGTCCTGGCCAACCCAATGATCGATTAACACTTTGGTCTTAAGCTTCTTACTGATTTTACCAACAATTGTCTCATCATTATCTTTGTTAACAAGCACCCATTCGCGTTTTCTTTTATCCTCAGATAACCGCTCTAACTGCACTTTCATTGATA